GTCGGCGTCGGCGGGGGGGCGTCGAACCGCTCCGCTGGCTCGTTCCAGTTCCCGCTCGCGGGAGCACGGGCGTTAAACGTTGCACTTCCGGATGCTTCAAGAATCGATTGTTTGGTTTCCTATTTTCGATGTATCGATACCGATTCAAATGATTCGTTATTTACACAGGTGATTTGATATCGATAATCGATCTGTATTAGGGAGTTTGTGTCACATCGAATGTTACAGCACTATCGATCTTCTGCGCATGCAAAGTTCAAGTTTCGCACCACTTTAGTGAATCTGCGTATTTGCAGAAGATCGACAGTACTGTACGTTATGGCGTGCACAAACTTCCAATTGTTACCGGTGAGTGATAACGATTTCGTAGATCGATTCCGATGGATTGATATAGATATAGATGAATCAATGTCGCGAATAGGTACCCAAAGTAGATATCTCCGATGTTTGACAACTACACATTACCGATACTTGATGTATGAAAACATTTATGTGTATTATGAATAACGTACAAAATGTATTTTCGTCATTAGTAGTATCGACACCAGTCAATCGATATCAATAGCGAACAAAACTTCTTTCAATTTGAAGATAATACAGAGCAGTTCTCAAGTTCAGTAATTCTACCCGCAGAGTAAACCATCCTTCAAGAGACTTAGTACGAGTAAACACTGCCCTAATCGCTTCCAAACGCCAAACCTGACTACTTATCAAATTCCGGACTGCCACGATATATTGCTATTTCAATTACGTTTGTTTTCTCATTATTATTTCTGAATACTTCACCGTTGTAAATTTTCACTGACGCAGACGGTAATTGTTGTCATCGTTCTTTTAAAAAAATTAATATGCGTTAAATAAACACTGCCTTATTTCATAACGGATGCTATTGCGATGAAATGCTCTGCACGTCCCATTCGTCGAGTCAATTGAACGATGCTAGAAAAAAACTCGGATACACAAAAACTCATAGAGTATTAATTTCAGCCTTCGGAAGGATGAACAACATACGTCCTTTCAATTACTTCGCTGGTAGCTCAAATTGAAGAACGTCACCCACTTAAAAAGACTTCTTTAGCCGACTTCGAGCGTTTCGTGACCGCATCCAGCTATCCAGAGTGTGCCAAAGCAGCAGAAGCTTCCGAAGCAAATCACAAACGATATGTCACAGCAACAAGGCAGGATGTCGCGGCAAAGGGACGTAACGCACGAGCCGACGGGGCAACACCCACACATGAGTTAAGTGGCGTCCCCTCGCTTTCTCTGCCACCTCCCCCTAGCGACCGCGCGTACGCACACCACCCTCGATATATTTAACCCTTTGACGCGATCAGTAGCGGCCGGGGTCGATCCCTGACCCTCCCCCTCTCTCGGGAGGAGCCGCTCTCCACGAGCCGGAGGGCGCGATGCAGAGGGTGTGAGGGCGTGGCGACACAGTGCGGGAAGGGCGAGCGCCGGCAAAGAGCATTAACACGCCACGCCCCGTCCCGTCCCGGCCCCTCGACCGAGGCGCCCGCCGCAAACGCCAAGGCGCGAACCGAACGCCTCGCCCCGGCGCGAACCACCGCCACCCCGCCTCACGACTCGCTTCACTCCCGCGACGGGAGGGCGGGAGGAGACACTAATTATTTCGTGCATTCAGGCGCGCGAACGGTTATGGCCACAGTCCCGTAAGTGTTGTGCGTACTTTATCGCGAGAGGTTAGAGTGATTTTCCCCGCTGGTTGGCGAGATTTGGCGGTGACCTACGCGTCGGATTGCAGGGTTTCTCCCCAACAAGGTATCTACCACCAACGGTGTCCCGCCCCCAGACAGGACAAGCTGAAAGCCCCCTGACTGGCCTTCCGACGTGTGTGGTAGTGTATGGCATGTAAGAGTAGGTGGAAGAAGGAGGTGAGAAGGGGACAATGAAGAGAAAGGCAAGATTGAGCGTGGACTTTGGCCCGTGTGTTAGGGTACTGCTACGGTATTCGCCTGGTGTTGATCGGAAAAACCATGGAAAATTACTGATCAGAGAAGCCGGCTGCTAGAATGCTTCATTCGACCTAACTATCTAGCAGTGTCAATAATTCTGCGCCCGTCGAGATTCTAGCCTAGGACCTTCCGGTCAGAGGCACTGCAGTGATATCAATTGATGTCTTGAGCAACTTAAGGAAGAAGAAACTTGAGAGAGGGGAACGAGACACAAGGAAAGGGACTGGGGATCGAACCCGAAATTTGCGTGGTCAGACGGAAGAGCAGGTCTGAAGGCCTGAGTCTCGCCACATAAAATAAGGCATTAATTCAATTCAATTCAAACTCGGCCGGTACCTGCGGTTAAATTGACCTGAACGATACACACCTGACAGTGAACACAAATTACTCACTCTCACGGCGACATTCGCCCGTCCGTCTTGCTCTAACTGGGTATGGGATACACGCGTCTCAAGCAACAAAACAACACGAGTAAAAACATTTCCTGAAATTCGTGAGGGAGAGAGAGAGAGAGAGAGAGAGAGAGAGAGAGAGAGAGAGAGAGAGAGAGAGAGAGAGATAAGAGAGGATGCGAGCAACGTGACGCCGGCTCCTAACACGCCACGCGCTACCTTACAATTATCTTAATGAAATTGAGCTCCGTGTCCTCTGGTCCGACCGGAACTGTCGAAGGCGAGTTAATACGGCCGGGCATTCAAATTGAGTACAAGGAGCGACTAACTTTTTCTCCTTGCAGCAGAAATGACCACACGAGTGAAAGAAGGAAGCCAAAAACTCTCCTTACTTACACTTTAAGACTCAACTGGTTTTGCAAGAAGGGCAGGATGGCGATCGAGTACACCAGCGAGCCAGGGTTATTCTGCAAGGAGGGCGAGATGGAGGGTAGCATGGCGGGCGAGTAAAATGGCGAGTCAGGGGCGATTTTGCAAGGACGGCAAGTTGGAGGGAAGGATGGTGGGCGAGTAAACCAGCGTGCCAGGGGCAGTTCCGCAGGGAGAGAACGCGGGCGGTCGCGCGTTTGGGCGGACATTTGGGCGTTCTCCGCGGGCTGGAAACGTGTCCTGCGAGAGGTGAGCGCGCTCAATCGCGTAATGAGTGATTGCTGGCCCCGCGGGAATCCCCGATCGGGCGGGGCGCGCGGTGCGACGTGGGACAAGCGGTTGCAGCAGGCCGCCCAGGGGGAAAGCCTTTGATATGACGCGGCCATGCTGAGCCCCCGGCGCGCGCGATTCGTCAGCGGTTGGCTGGAGCGTGCAATTCCGAACAACGCCACCGCACAACCCGGTGAGGTCTTTTTAATTATACGCACATCCGAACCAATGGGAATGGTCGCCGATACGTGACGCGATACTCGCAAAAACAAATCGAAAAGTATCTATGTGAGATTGAAATATGACAGAAGTCGGATTTGCATTCGAATACAGAACAATTATAAATTACGGTTTCTCATTATCTCAATTTCCTATTTATTGGTTCCTATTCATTGGTTGATACACCGTTCAAACAAAATCGAACCTCTTTTCACATGAACCCAAAATATTTACAATGTTACACATAGCTGGCTAGTTTCCTCAATTTCTTAATACGTATTTTAGAATCACTATTGTTTTAACAACCATAATTCTGATTTAACATTTAGTTGTAGAAGTGGATGAATACAATACAAGTAACGAGAGAATAATGCAATATTCTCTGCAATATGAATAATATTATAGCATTAAAACTGTTCACAGAAGATACATTTTATGAATGAATATTTCATTCAAAATAATTCCATAAAAGTAGAAACATTCTAAATTGACCTATTAACCGCCAATCTGATAAAGCGCCGATAAGGCTCGGAAATTGCCGCATCGCAAAGCGCCCAGAGAGAACGAGAAAACGACTCACCTCCGCCGCCGGCGTTGGTGATGGTGACCCAGAAGTCGATGGTCTTCTCCGGTCCGAGCTCCTCGTAGTCCCACTTCTTCTTGACGCGCACGGCGCCGTTGGGCTCCACCGTCACCCAGGGGTTCTCCTCTCGGATCTTGAAGGTCTCGCGCTCCGTCTCCTTCTCCAGCTGGAAGACGACGCGGCCCTCGTTCTCGCCGTCGGCCTCGGTGAACTCGATGCGCTTGGTGGGGCGGACGGCGCGCGTCACCCGCCGCTTCTCGCGGCGGCCGTGGGCCTCGGCGGCGTCCACCTCGTTGCCGGCCTCCTCGTCGCCCTCGCCGTCCTCCTCGGCGGGCAGGCTGAAGCGGAGGTAGACCTGCGCGGGCGCCTTGGCCGTGCGGCTGGGGTGGCGCAGGTCGTGCGCGTCCACCGCGATCTCGTACTCCATGTCCTCCCCGGCCTCCAGCGGCGGGTCGCCGGCCAGCAGCAGGTCGCCGGTTTGCGGGACGATCACCACGAGGTTGCTGGGCGCCGCCAGGCGGTACGCCACCTTGTCGCCGTCGGCGTCGCGCGCCGTCACGCCGCCGATGCCCGCGATAGCGCCGCCACCGCCGACCTCGACCCGTTGGATCGGTTCGCGGAACTCGCCCCCAGCGAGAGAAAGTCGGTACACCTTCTTGGAGAAGACCGGGCTTTGTCGTTCTGCGTCAGCCACGACAACGGCACTTTGGCCACGGGCGCGGTCGATGCCCGGCCGTCCGCCGCCCTGCACGGTGAGGGTACTCGGCCGCGCGCCCTCGCGGTCCAGCGGGGCCGCCCGTCACCAGTCCGCCACGCCTGTGCATGGGGCGCGCCCGTGTCGTTGGCCGCGCGTCCGTCGTCCACCAGCTGTGAAGGCGCCGTCGTGTGGCCGGCCGTGATGTGTAGTGCACGGGCATGTCGCCGCCGCGCCGCCCTGCCGGCGCGCAGACGGGCAGTCCTGCACGCGCTTGCCCGCGGGCCGCTTCTCCCGCCACGGCGCCCCCGACACGTCCTGTCGGATATCGCAGCAGTGTCGTCCGGTCCAACACGTAATGCTGCATGGGTTGGGTGGCCGTTAGTTGGCGTCTCCTCCAGCACACCAGTGCACCGCCGGTTCACTCCAGCGGCTGATTGTTCCGAAGAAATTCTCATCACCAGTCCGTCCTCGAGCACCATGAAGAATGGAAAAAAGCCGGTTCCAGCAGGCGGTAGCCCGCGCTCGTTCGAACTTCTTGACGCTGAACCCGGTAGTTGTCGTGCGGGAGCACGGCCATCCGTGCCTCAGCTGCCGCCGCGGCCGCTCTGGGCTGGCCCGCCCCGCGCCCGCCGCCGCCACGCACAGCGCGCCACGCCGGCCAGCGCCAGCCCCGCGCCGTTCCTCCTCGCCACGCGCCGCCATCGCGCGCGCCGCTCCGCCCTGCCGCCCCTGCGCCGCTCTCTCGGCGTCACGCTCGCCTCGCCCAAGCGCGCGCCTCACAGCATGGGGCCTGCAACACACCAAACACGCACGTCAGCAAATCGCTGCCACTCACACTCACACAAATTACGCCGCCCTCTCTGAAACGACTGCGAATCTCTTCACAGTGAATTCTTACTTAACTTATATTACAAATCATACCCTGGGTGTAATCCAGGGGCGACCAGATTGGGGTGGGGAGCAGCTGGGGGCATCTTGCCCCTAGACCCCGACTTTCTCTTCAGTCATATTCAAGTCTCTTCAGACAATAAAAAAATAATTCTGCTTATATTCATCTCCAATTCAAGTTTAAGGCTAAAAGTGATTTTTGAGCCTGGAGAAACGAATTATTTATGATTTGGGGGAGGAGGGACTTTCTTGTTTGAAATGAGGGGTCACAATAGATCAACTCCACCTGCTTTTCTCTGGCCTCCCCTGGTCATAACGAAAACATCCATAAACATGGGAAATATTTTTCGAGCTAAATTTGTATTCACTCACACACAGAAACAGTCACACATACCTATCAAAAACGATAGACTTTAGTGTTGTTTATGGGACATCACAACTTCAATTACTACGTTTTTCATACGAACTCACCAAACCAGAGGAAAAATTGAAACCTATTGGCGTTCCTGAGGCCAACACCAAAACACCCCTCCAATTCCCTCGCTTCGAATATGAACACTGCCACAACTCGCACAGTGAAAATTCTACACACACACCCGCCCAACCCTGCAGGCAACGTAGAAGAAGCGTTCACACAGCGGGCGTCACCCCATCAGCGCGGTCGCTGCCCGGAGGCGCTAATGGCGCCTCGTCGCTTGCAACGGCCCCCCGCATGCCGCCTGTCGCGTCCCATCGCAGCGACGCGCACAAAACCCTCTCCCACGCCCAGCCCCCTCCCCCACCCTCTAACCAACCGCCGACCCCGGATGAAGGATTCCGGGAAGCGGAATTTGGGTCGTCACTGGGCGTTAGCTGCAGCTGCAGCTCTAGGGGCCCCGGGCCGGGCATCGAACGATCGCACCGATCGAAAATGCTACCCGTTCCCCAGGTTCGGGTTTGGCGATTGGGACGGGGCTCAAAACATTTTTGAAAGTGCAACATCTCTCAATCCGTCCGTGAGGGGTTGATGGTTAAAAAAACGCATTTGACAAAAACATGAATAATCGTTACGTGTATCATCGTAATATCATTGTTATGAAACATTGCTCGACATTTTTTATTACTTATTTAGGGTCGCCTTTTCAACACCTAAGGTCATAGAGCGACAACTGTGAGTAACAATGGGGTAACGGTATACGCACGCACACAAACACCCAAGCCCTGTACAGGATTCGAGAATTCGACTCTTCAGGCACGACGCAGCTAGGGCTCTTCAGCCTCACCGACCTCGGGTATCCAGGCCGGCACTTATATCTTTATAATCGTTTTATCCCAGAACCGCGTTTAGTATCGTTTTATAGAGGAAAGAAGCCATTACTCGAGATCGTATGAATCGCATGCGGAAATAACGCTGTTCTTGCGCCACGTTTGATGCAATCGGAACTACAGTTAGCATCCCGTGCGATGTAACCATACCTTTTGGGGGTTTGAAACAAACGGACCCTCTACAAATAGAGAGCAAGCCCGACTGCACAGTAAGACACTTACTGGTAGTAACTACGTTTTTGCACGGCTTGTAGTTGTTTACCCTTGCACTTAGTAGCACTTGACGGTTACCTACTGCGGCTGCTTCAACGGCAGATCCTAATGGAATTATAGGATTGGTTTCTAATGTTCTCTTAAGAAAATTATAAGAAAAATATTATGTCGGATAAATTTAGACAAAAATTTAAATGACAGAAACGCCTCTACAACAAGTTGGATCTAAATCTCAGACAGAATTAGAAACCTCAACCGTAAAGTAGTAGAAATTACCACCGCATACATGCTGTATAAGCCGAAGTTCGATTTCTATGTCAGTTTCTACAATTAGAATTGTCACATATCGTCTATGAAGAATTTCACGAGGGTAGAATATACGTTACTTTTACATTGATACATTTTAGTACATTTTAATACAGTATTCTGAAGTAGTTACCAACAAATCTTTCGGTGAAACCCAGTCTAAAATTTCAATATTTTCAAATATTTATACGGTATTTAAGCATTTAAAATTCAGAATTCGTTATCGAATGAGGCTTTCCCGGGGCAATATATTTTGAATGAATAACTCTTTCATATGGATGAGCACCAGCCCTCGGAGAATTGATGTAAAACTCAAAATTCTACGGTTTATTTTGCGAATGTTTTCGACACGTTTTAGATATGGCATTTCCTTGTACTGTCAAGAGATAAATTCATATATTCTCTTTAGTTTCAATATTGTATTGCGTCGTAAACTTACACTAATCGATTTCCTTCGCCTTCTCTTAGACAATAAACAATATCTCTAACAAAATGTAAAGTACAACATTCTCATGCTCTCACGCATGCTGTTTACGGATAATTCTATTTCGCGACACTCTCACTAGTTTATACTTGTCCTCGCCATTTAATATCCTTCGCTTGACCTCATTTCCGCCTTCTAGGGCAACGCCCCCCGCTTCCCTTACACGAAGATTCAATTTCTACAATAGCTCTTCAATATGAAAACCTCGGCGCCCTTCTCCGGAATTGTTCTGCCTGCTGGTGTCGTTAGCGCCGCCCGCACCGTTGACAATACACGCGCGCCTATCGATCGCGTCGGACGCCTTTGTCGGCCTCAGGTGCGGCAGGAGGGGCAGAAAGGGCGGGCGGCAAGGTGAAGGGGGCCGGGCAACCGTGCTGCCGGCGGAGAAAAAGGCGCGGGGTTGGGCAAGGGTGACAGCGTGAGGTGTTGGAGACGGCAACAACATGCAAGAGCAGCTAGGGGTTGTGTGAGTGTGGAGGCGGGGACGTGACGGAGAGGAGAGCGGTCCAGTGGGGTGGGTTGGCACAGGGGATTGAGAGTGTGAGGACGGCGGTGATATCACAGTGGTGGAATGCAGCACGACAGGACGAAAAGTGAGCGCGGCAGCAAAGATGTGGTAGTTGCGGGCAGTAGAGTGCGGGAAGAAGCGCTATAGCATCCAAGTGTGGCAGGAACGGAGGTGGAGAGGCGAGGCGAAGATAGGGTCAGTTGCGTGGTCGCGGGGAGAGGGGGGCGAAGCGGTAGCGGCGTCGCACGGCGGCAGGAATGGAGGGGGCGGGGCGAAGATGGGGCCAGTTGCGCGGAGGGGGTGGCGGCGACGCGGGCGCCCATTACCAAAGGCGCATTATCCACTCCATTGTGCGCTTCTTGTGCTGTGCTGCTCGGAAGCGAGCGAGGGCACACGTGGAGCCAGCCAGGTGAGCCAGGGCGATGAAGCGGAATAAAGGTGGTGAAAATTAGGTGGGTGAAAACTCAGAAATAGACGGCAACAATACTGTAGATAGAAGCGAGAAATTTAATTAATGAAAACAAGCAAGATAACGTGTATAAAAACAAAGAACAAAAACTGAGTAGGAAATGAAAAATACTGTCTTTCTTGCCCGTAAGTTGCTATCACTACACAATTGTCATACGACATAATTTTAGAGAAAAACAGTCAGTAATAATTCCTGGAGACATGAATTAGGGTAACAGTTCAATGAATTATAGTAAAAATTTCACAAAATATAGAAAAAAGGCGACGGCACAAGCGAAGAGGCCGGTGGTTATTGAAATTGGGTATGAACGCAGTGCTCACTAATTTAAGCATCTGAAAACTGAAGGACATAAAATTTCGAGTTACTAAACATTTCGACTTATTAAGGCATCCAAATTCACAAGCATAAAAAGAAGAAGGAAAATTAAGGAAGGTAGATAAAGACGGTTCCACCGATTCCGATAAAGAGGTTTCAACGAGGGAAACGGAAACCTTGAAAAAAGACGAGAATCGAAAAACGAGAGAATAGAAAAGTTTAAGAGAAGAAAAAACATTTACATCACATCAAAAATACATAAGAACAGCGAATAGCTAAGAATAAATCGGAGAGAAAACGTAATACGGAACGAACCAGATGATACTTCTTGAAGTGGCTGTGAAGGCAGCACGGAATTTCTTTTTTTTAAATGTAAAGAAGATACGAAAACTTTCGAACTTCTCAATTTATTTATGTTTGAGTAACCGTGCAAACAGAAGTAGTTCACGGGGGAATGAACACGTTTGACATATATGTTAGATAGATGTGCCTTAGAGGAAAAACGGCCATCGCTTGTCTCTCAGGGTGAAGGGGAAGCGCTCTTATCGTCTGCCGCCGAGAGCAGCTCTGCTGGAGTAGTTTCTTGGGGGATAGGCAACGCCTGCTCCTTCAGTTGGGCTTAGAGAACTTCTGGGAAAAGACCAGGATTGAATCTCGGGGAACCGTACTATATAAATGAATTATTTCCTTCTATACGATAAGCGCACAATAGGTGTGACGCAATGAAGGTAGAAGAGCATCAATTGTCACCAACAGCGAACGTGTGGCGACATCACGACCGAGGTATTTTTGTCCAGCGGCAATCGATGGTTATGATAGGGAATCGGCCATCAATCACAATTTTACCTCATGGGCAGTGGAAGGTATTTTTCCCTTCTTTTTTTCCGTTCGCTATAGTACATGGACTCCGATTGAAAGAGAACGAAACAGGAGGGCGGAAGTGGAAGGTTCAGTCTCTTGTAACGTATTAGCCAGCGTGCCTCGTGGCATC